CTCACAGCCTCCGCCCGCCCGCTCGCACGCGGTGGGGCTCCATCCCATGCAGCCCCCCTGGCCGGGCAGCCGGGTCCTCCCCTCAGCACCGCGGCCTCCAGGTCCCCTCCCCCGAGCTCCGTGGGGAGGGCTCTGGGGGTCCCGGGCTTGCGGGCCGAAACCCCGGAACCTGGGAGGAGTGCCGCCCAGGGCCCTTAGGGAGGACCCGGTGTGTCTGCCCGGTGCTTGCTGCCACTCGCCGGGCTGAATCTTTGCGTCCGACCCTGGGCTCCGAGAGGAGACGAGCACGTGGGAGGCGGGTGCTGAGGGCTGGGTCTGGTTGCATGGAAAGTCTTGTTCCTCTCTTGCCCAGAGAGGTGTGGGGCGCAGAGGCGCGGGCTGCTGTGGCTCTCACTGTGCCTTTGTATCGCGGGGAGAGCCCAGGCCAGGCGGGCTGTCCCTCTGCCAGTTCCTGCTCGGAGCGTTTAAGGGTTTCTATGAGGGACGGAAGTAGGAAAAGCGTACTCGCCAGTTCTTAACCCTCCTTTGGCGTTAGTCTTGATGGTTTAGGGCAGCTCTGGAAAACTGGACCTAAGAACGTGATGGGAAGCTAAAGATTTCAGAGGAAAATGTGCGTGGAGATTCTGCCCACGTCTGGGCCGGTATTATTTTTGGATTTGAGTATCCGGCAAGTGGACACTTCCAATCAGATTTAAAGATCAGGGGCTTCATGTAGGCCTTGTGGGTTTTTATAAAAGCATACAGGCGTAGAACTGCTCAGGGGAAATAATTTTAGATGGTTTTGCTGGGAGATTTAAGACAAATCAAAGGGCTCTAGGATTTCCTGATTCCACGTCTACATAAAGTGTTTCAGAAACTTCCCAATGTGCAGAATAAATCTAATGACCTGGCCTTCACTCTCAGAAGTTGATTTCTTTTGACTTTTCTGTTTCATTTCCCCCTCTCATCATACAATTCAGGCTGGGAAGTATGCTTTCTTTGGTTACATAGTTTCCTCTCTGTTAGGGGACAGGAATACCCTAATTTGTTGCTTCATGAATGGAGATGCCCTTGACATCTGTCTGTCTTGGGGATTTCTGTGCTCACTTGACAAGCACTTGTTGGGAAAGCATTGTGTTGTTTAAAACTAGGATCGCTTTTAGCATTGTAGGTAGTAGATGCCTGCTTGCTGCAAAGTAGCAAGTCTCTTCCTACTTCTTTGGCTTCCGTTTCTTTATTTCTAAGTACTACTTAAGCCTTAACAGGAATATAGATGCGACCCCATTAATAATTAACAAAACCTGTGGGTTTGTGAAAGCCGTCAACAGTAAAATACTAATTTCTAAAGCTGCCTGTGTTTATTATTGTTGTAGAGGTTTTGCTTATGTTTTTACCAAAGTAGAATAGAAATACGTCACAGGTAAGATTAAATTGTTTTTAAGATGGGAGGAAAAGTTGGGAAATACTGGGCCTTTCACTTACTGAATTTATACATCAGACCATAACTAGGTAATATCCAAGAAGTGTCATTGTGAAAGCTAGCCTTGGAGAACTCTAAAGTGCTGTGAACAGGTTCAGGTGTAGAGCACTTTTCAGCTAGTGAGTAGGAAAATTTTTACCTGTCCCACGGACTGGTTTAACTGGTCTGAAGCTAGTGTTTTGTTTTTATTTGGAGGGTCTCCATGTGTTCAGCCTTGAATTTGGAGTCTTCCTTCCTCAGTGTCCCAAGTACTAGGCATGTGCCACCATACTTTGCTCTGTGTTTTTCTTCTCTCTCTCTCCCCCTCCCTCTCCCCCCCTCTCTCTCTCCTTCTCTTCTCTTCTCTCTTCCCCCTGCTCTTTTCTCTCCTCTCTCTGCTCTTTTTCCCTCCCTCTCTCCCCTTAGGTAGGATTTCTTTGTGTAGTGTGTAGCCCTGGCTGTCCTGGAATTTTGTAGACCCGTCTGACCTTAAACTCAGATCTGCCTGCCTCTGCCTCTCAAGTGCTGGGATTAAAAGCCCCACTCGGCTTTTCCTTTATTTTTCTTCTTCCTTGTTTTGGATCTGCTTGTTTTCCTATGTGTTTGTATGTGCACACGTGTGGTCAGGAAGGTGCTGAGGTCCTTGTGTGGAGGTGGGAGGACAGCCGTCAGGCGTGGGTCTTCAGGTTGTCAGGCTCCACAAGTGCTTTTACCTGCAGAGTCATCTTCCCTACCCTTTTAAAAAACAACCCCAAAACTTGGATCTATTCATTTTTTGTGGGGAGCATAAACATGTCATGTGGAGATCATAAGACAGTCTGAAATCTGTTTTCTCCTTCTGTGTTTTGTGAGCCTTGGGGATTGAACTCGGATCACCAACTCAACAACAATCCCCTTTACCAGCTGAGCTACCTCCAGGGATTACAGGTGTGCACCACCATACTTGTTTTATTTTTTACATTTATTGTGCGTGTGCAATGTGTGCTCGCACTTATATGTGGTCAGAAGACAATTTACGAGAGTTAGTTCTCTTCTACCATGTGGGCTCCTGGCAAGTACCTTTATGTGCTGAGCTGTCTCCTTGGCCTTCTCACCTTTGTTTGTTTGTTTGTTTTGAGACAGGGTTTCTCTGTGTAGCTTTGGAGCCTGTCCTGGAACCAGGCTGGCCTCAAACTCAGAGATCCACCAGCCTCTGCCTCCCGAGTGCTGGGATGTGCGCCACCACCACCTGGCCCTTCTCACCTTTTTTAATGCAGTGTTGGGGATTGAACTCAGGGCTTTGTGGATTCTAAGCAGGCACTTCACCAGCTCAACATCCTCAGCCCCACTGCGCCTTTCTTTAAAATTAAGGCATTTCCAACCTACAGCACCCCCCCCCCCCAGGTCACATTAGTCCCAGGGTATCTATGAATAGGACCAAGATATTTGTAGATGACATCATTTTGAAATATCAAAAAATTAGGTATTCTTTTTTTAAATTTGTTTTTGTTTTTGTCATTTCTAGGCTGGCTAATACCTTAATTATTGGATGAGGAAACAAAAATAATTGTTTAATAAAAATAAACAATTTTATTTAATTTAAAAAGTAATAATACACTTAAATTTAATGTTTCTACTTGGGAGATATTGGCTATTCTTTCAGCACTTCAGAAAAAAGTTATTTTATCATTATCTAACTTAAAAAAAATATTTATATGTGCATATGGCACCGGAGGGAGCAAAGTCAGAAGACAGTTTTGGGGAGTTAGTTCCCTCACTCTCTTCTTGTCACCAAAGATTGAACTCAAGTGGCCAGGCTTGCTCTCAGCTTGTCTGCTAGCTGAGCCGTCTCACCACCATTAGCTTGTTCCTAAAGACTAGTAACTGTGGAAGCTATACATCAAGCACCTTTCTATACATTTAAATCAATAGGCTTATGAAGAAGTGAATAAACACTGAAGCCTCATTGGCTGGAAAGAAAATTCTTAATCCCTGTTGAAGACGGCCCTTTGAAGGCAGTCCTCATCGGTTATCTACTTTAACAGATTCCTGTTTAAGTAGTTTATTTCTGTGTTTGTTTTTTAATTTCTGAAACTTCAGTGAGAATTCTCAGCTTTACTTGAATGTAATGGTTCATTTGACAGGATTTAGATAAAGAAAAAAAAAAGCTTGGTTGTAGTTGTACACGGATGATGCACTTACATGAAGAGTGCATCTGATCTGGCATAAGCTCTTACAAGGTTAGCCAGTTAATCTTTGTCAAGTGTGTCCTAATGATTGAGTTCTCTTACCAATTTGTTATTCAAGTTGCCATTACGCCATCTGGCTTGGGGACGTTTAAGGAGACAGGTGAGAAGTAGTTTCACAATTAGGAATTTTGTTGGGTGTGGTGGCCCTTGTCTGTAACCTCAGAACTCAGGAGGCAGAAACGGGAGGACCTCCATGAGTTTGAGGCCAGTGTGGTGTACATAGCAGGTTCCAGGTGAGCCAAGGCCTGCCTAAGAAGAAAGCTTTCTCAGAAACAGTAAAAAATGAAACCCAAAAGGGATGTTAATCACTGTACCTAAAGGTTGATGGCCTCAAATGATGCCAGAAGACAACTTCATTCCATCCTTTCAGCATTCTGTTCTGACTCTTCATTACATGAGGAACTGCAAAAATAGTCACTGTTCTATAACTCTGGGGATTGAAGTCACGTGGCTGTATATCCAACTTATGAAGAGGTCATCTTATAACTAGCCTGTATAAATAATTTTTTTTGACATGATAACAAAAGTTTGAAATTTTTGAATGAACTTGTTAAGTTTGAAAATAGACCTAGCTGGGTAGTGGTGGCATATGCTTTTAATCCCAGCACTTGGGAGGCAGAGACAGAGGATCTGAGTTCAAGGCCAGTATGGTCTACAGAGCGAGTTCAAAAAGGAAAAAAAAGTCAATTCCACAGTAAAACATACAGTACTAATATGTGAATAATATTTTCGTTGTCTAAATGCTCAAGATAAGGGGTCATAGCATCTTGGGTTAACAGGAAAGCTGGCTACTAAGCTTATTTTAAAATC